ATAAATCATGTAGGTATTTTCTTGTTTTTATTAAACCTCACACAGACTAGAAACATATTTGTGTGTCTGTAAGTAATGTATTATATTTAAAGTGGCTGAGATAATTACAATATCAAGACAGGAAGATATACTAGCCTCATAATTCAGTGAATTATATATACCAGATAATGTCCCATGATAAAGGAACGTGCAATTACAAAGACACGTGATCATTTAATATCAGAAACTGGAAAGTGTAAACAAAAGTTACAATCAATATCAAGATTCAACTGATTAAATTTTACATTTGCTGATTTAAGTATCTGATAATAAAAATATTAAAGTGTTCTGTTATATGTCATATTTATTGACAATTTGATCATTCATTTACAACATTTGTTTAGGTAAATGCTGCTGCTACACTGTCGGTGAATTTAGTTTCACTATATAACCAGAACAGCCAGGTTTATACAAATAACCAGCTCCGGTGTTGTAATGATGCGGCTACAGTTGGACAACGCTGTGTGGTACCGTGTGACGCTGTAATCCAAGTTTGTTACAGGTAACTACGCGAACACATGATATAAACAAGCATTGTTACTTCCAGGAGACGCTGTGATCAAAGTTTGTTACAGGTAAGTATGTGAACACGTGTTCCAGACATAAAAAGTATCATTCAAGTTTGTTACAGGTAAGTATGTGAACACGTGTTCCAGACATAAAAAGTATCATTCAAGTTTGTTACAGGTAAGTATGTGAACACGTGTTCCAGACATAAAAAAGTATCATTCAAGTTTGTTACAGATAAGTATGTGAACACGTGTTCCAGACATAAAAAGTATCATTCAAGTTTGTTACAGGTAAGTATGTGAACATGTGTTCCAGACATAAAAAGTATCATTCAAGTTTGTTACAGATAAGTATGTGAACACGAGTTCCAGACAATAAACTTGCCATTCAAGTTTGTTACATGTAAGTATATGTTTCAGATAAAATGATAAAACGCTGTTATCCAAGTTTCTTACATTCGGACACATTTCATTTTTAAGTCATTCTAGATCAACCGACTCTTTGCATATCGCCATTTTACTTCTTTTACATCGTAAATCAAATCTTAGATTTGATAAAAAAAAATAAATAAATAAAAAAGAAGAATATCTGTTGATAGAAAATGGTGTCACTTTGAGAATTACGAGGTTATAAAACTCTAGAATAGTATAAGTAATTAACTAGCCAAGTATTGACGAAATATTTCGAACGTTATTTTTCAACAACGTATCTGCTACTTTATTAACATGTAAGTAAGGTTTTAGGTTGATTAAATCGGTGTCTCTGCCGCAGGGTCAGATATGTACTGCCGCAGGGTCAGATATGTACTCTAAAGGAAATATTTCTGTTTGATAAACAATAGGTCGCTTTATCATTTCTCGACAATACCAAACTGGTGACCGTTTTTGAGGTAACCATGCAGACGATTTTGTTTTAAACATATGCCATTGAAATAAAGGCGACATATAACTATCCTATTTCATGTGGAAAATGTTCTGTATTCAAATATTTCTGAATAAAAGTCACTTGTATAGAATACAAACAAGTAAACTTATTGATAACATACTCTTGTTGATCTTAAATTTAGGTCAGTTACAGAGTCATTTGTCAACCCACAGTGGTTCGCATCTGTCCATAACATTATTGCAAAAAGTTTGATTAATTTATCAGCCTTATTCTTTAGGTTATCAGTTCTATAGCAGCAAACTCAAGATTCCATTAATGAATTTCAGACCTAGAAATCACCAACCATGTCAGCAGACCCAGACGAGTACTCGTATCCAGGGACAACACAATATCAAATTCAATTCAAGTATTGGCAATTTGTCGAACCCAATCCTTTTTCAAGTGAAACAATGGACGGTACGTTTTATCTTTATTATTGTGATAAAGATGATGTTGTAGTATGCAAATTCAACTATCGAGGTACTTTTTAAATTTCGAATAAAAGCAGAAATTCTTCTTCCAATTTTTGCCACAACAATTTTTCAAATTATGTTATGTGGTCCCATAACACTGCAGTATTAGGTTTCATTGAAGCACTTATCGTTACAAATGTTTCTGTTAACCATTGCCTTATACAAACTGTCACTCCATATTAAGCTTACAAACCTCCTGACAGGAGACGGGGGTAGTTATGGACAGGCCCTATCTAAATAGCAACATTTTGGAAATAGTCTTAATTTTTGCAATTGACGAGTTGTGATTCTTTACAAGCGATGCCAAGTATGATTTCATGTTTCAAAACTATTTTGAAATATCTATATTTTATTTTGTATTTCGTCTGTTTCAGATGTTTTCCGGATTTACAGTGAAAGCTTTTGAAGACAAGACACAGACACGAACCATAGGTATGTTCGACGTGTTTCCTTATCTGAGTAAAGCCGACACTAGTCAAAGTACCGCAAGGTTACACGAGAAAAGATCCGTACAGGACCATAGGACGCACGCATCGTGAGTATAAGAAATTGGACACCTTCAAGTAGATTGTTGGTAGTTAGGAGAAAACTCATAGTGCGTATAACCTGCATATGCCCAACAGAAAGTTCTTGGGTGAAATGTCATACTTATTTGAATCGCTAATTAGGAAAGGAATTCTCTGTGTAATGGAATTTATTTTTCACTGCTATGTGCAAAGGAAATTTAATGGCCTCCCGTTTAATGTTATATATTCAACGAGGAACCTTCGCTTCATTTGTTTCCGAACGGGAAATTCGTCAAATTTTAATGCAATGACTAGACAACATTGCTCTGGTTGGTCAAAATTATGAATTTTTTTCATGACTGGAAAATAAATAAATAAATAAATAAATAATATATTATTAAATGAGTTGGGGATGTATAAGACTCTATCTTGTTTTATTTCAGCCTGCATGTTAGATTCCAAGTATATGAATCAAACTGTAGTCCTGACCCCGCCAGTAACAAAGTGTGTGACTCGAACGGACACCTGATGTGTGCCCCACATTATTATGGTCTGCAATGTAATAAGAGGTGTATACCAACACAGAACGGATATTGTGACAACAGCGGCAATCTGGTCTGTAACTCATCATATTACGGACTACATTGTGACAAACAGTGTATCACTCCGCCTTCTCATGGACGTTGTGATTCTAACGGGACGTTAAGATGTGACCCGTCTTACTACGGACTACATTGTGACAAACAGTGTATCACTCCGCCTTCTCATGGACATTGTGAGTCTAACGGGACATTAAGATGTGACCCGTCTTACTACGGACTACATTGTGACAAACAATGTGTCACTCCGCCTTCTCATGGACATTGTGATTCTAACGGAACGTTAAGATGTGACACGTCTTACTACGGACTACATTGTGACAAACAGTGTATTACTCCGCCTTCTCATGGACATTGTGAGTCTAACGGGACGTTAAGATGTGACACGTCTTACTACGGACTACATTGTGACAAACAGTGTATCACTCCGCCTTCTCATGGGCATTGTGATTCTAACGGGACGTTAAGATGTGACACGTCCTACTACGGACTACATTGTGACAAACAGTGTATCACTCCGCCTTCTCATGGACATTGTGATTCTTACGGGACGTTAAGATGTGACCCGTCTTACTATGGACTACATTGTGACAAACAGTGTATCACTCCGCCTTCTCATGGACATTGTGATTCTAACGGGACGTTAAGATGTGACACGTCTTACTACGGACTACATTGTGACAAACAGTGTATCACTCCGCCTTCTCATGGACGTTGTGATTCTAACGGGACGTTAAGATGTGAACCGTCTTACTACGGACTACATTGTGACAAACAGTGTATCACTCCGCCTTCTCATGGACATTGTGATTCTAACGGGACGTTAAGATGTGCCACGTCTTACTATGGACTACATTGTGACAAACAGTGTATCACTCCGCCTTCTCATGGACATTGTGATTCTAACGGGACGTTAAGATGTGACCCGTCTTACTACGGACTACATTGTGACAAACAATGTGTCACTCCGCCTTCTCATGGACATTGTGATTCTAACGGGACGTTAAGATGTGACACGTCTTACTACGGACTACATTGTGACAAACAGTGTATCACTCCGCCTTCTCATGGACATTGTGATTCTAACGGGACGTTAAGATGTGACCCGTCTTACTACGGACTACATTGTGACAAACAGTGTATCACTCCGCCTTCTCATGGACATTGTGATTCTAACGGAACGTTAAGATGTGACACGTCTTACTACGGACTACATTGTGACAAACAGTGTATCACTCCGCCTTCTCATGGACATTGTGATTCTAACGGAACGTTAAGATGTGACCCGTCTTACTACGGACTACATTGTGACAAACAGTGTATCACTCCGCCTTCTCATGGACATTGTGATTCTAACGGGACGTTAAGATGTGACCCGTCTTACTACGGACTACATTGTGACAAACAATGTGTTACTCCGCCTTCTCATGGACATTGTGATTCTAACGGAACGTTAAGATGTGACATGTCTTACTATGGACTACATTGTGACAAACAGTGTATCACTCCGCCTTCTCATGGACATTGTGATTCTAACGGAACGTTAAGATGTGACCCGTCTTACTACGGACTACATTGTGACAAACAGTGTATCACTCCGCCTTCTCATGGACATTGTGATTCTAACGGGACGTTAAGATGTGACAAGTCTTACTACGGAATACATTGTGACAAACAATGTGTTACTCCGCCTTCTCATGGACATTGTGATTCTAACGGAACGTTAAGATGTGACACGTCTTACTACGGACTACATTGTGACAAACAATGTGTTACTCCGCCTTCTCATGGACATTGCGATTCTAACGGAACGTTAAGATGTGACCCGTCTTACTACGGACTACATTGTGACAAACAGTGTATCACTCCGCCTTCTCATGGACATTGTGATTCTAACGGGACGTTAAGATGTGACCCGTCTTACTACGGACTACATTGTGACAAACAATGTATCACTCCGCCTTCCAATGGACATTGTGATAGTAATGGAACTCTGCATTGTGATCCCCTGTTTAAAGGCTTGAACTGTAACCAAAGCGCTTCAGCAACACTCCCGCAGGTAGGTCATTCTAATAGAGTAGCGTTACAAAAATGATTTTACTGTATGTTAATATGAAATAGACACTGCTTAAATCCCAGCGCAATTAAGTCAAGAAGATACCCATGTATGTAAGTATATATTATTTCAATTTGCATATTTCAAAGATTCATTAAAGTCGTTCATACATCACTTCAGAAATAATTACACAATCATTCCAATATACTCACCTTGTAATATATAACATAAATATGCCCAGCAGTCATAATACATATAAAAGACGGGGTAGTACAAATTTCCCTGGTCAAATGCAAGTTTGTTCTCTTTAAGATACGATACGGAAAGTAAGGAAATTCCGTGCTGCAATACAGGTTCTAGCGAGTTTTTCCTCCAGGCGATCATACATGAAGTTTCTTGATTTGCTGTTTTTTCAACCACTTAAATGTTCCATACAATTTTACCATAAAGCGCTATCAAAACGGATTTTTGGTCACGATTTGGAAGAAATGGTTTTCAAATACTTAGTAGCTGTTCCCATAGTCAACGAAGAATCATAATGCAGCCGGATACAATGTTAAAATTAACACTAAACAACCAAACCATATCTATAGTCGTATGTACAATCATAGACTCCAGCATTAACTGATTTTATTTCATCACGTGAAAGGTAGGTTAGGTATTTTAAGGCAATAACACTATTCTATATAGACCTCTGCAAGTATAATACTACAAAATGAGAACTAGAACTGGATCGCCAACTCATTAGATAAAAAAGCCCTGATTTAAATCCATTGTCTTATTTCCGCTCAAAGGGAAGTGATAATGACAAACAATGAAGGTGACCCGTGTCATCAGTGATACGGCTAAGGTTAGTAAACTTTCACCAGTCGAGGTGACTGTTGATACTCTGGTTTCATAAGGGTGATAGCAGGTGTAGTTTTCGCCCGAGGTGACTAAAGCGGACAAGGATGACACAGACAATCACAGTTTGTTTACTTTTGACACTTCTTGTCAACACGGTAAGTTTTAAACACTCGACAGACAATATTTTTAGTATAATACACAAGTTATTTTTGTTGTCCGATTTTGTATTTAAGCAATCGAACAGTCTATGTAAGTAAGAGTTGATAAATAGGACAAACGAATATTTAAATATGCAAATAAATATCGTTTTAAGATTAATAATTTAACACACTCTCCACCCAGAATCTTTTTTTCACTTGGAAATTTAACTTTAAACATGTAAGACTTTATCATGAAAATGATGAATTGTTGACGAAGAGTGAATTATTCATTCTGAACTTAAAGTCATGTGATTGACTTTATCAAAACATAAAAACTAAGGACACCATTAACACGGAAATAACATGTATGCCATTAGATCAAATACAATGTCGAGTTGTTTACGTTTAAATGGAATTTGCTTTTCATTTTGATCCATACGTTTTCGATTACATGAAAAACGCTCTTAATCCTGACAGAGAGCACACACAACACACAATAAACGTGCACGTAAAACAAAAAACCTCAAATAAAAAATAAATGTCAAGAGAATCTCAATTCAAACTCAAATTATCAAATAAAATGACACCCACAACGTCATAACTAAATGAAGTCACTTTCGATCAGCGGTTTCCATCATCCTATACTAATTCAAAACAGCATTCCGGACAGGGGAGATGATTTTAGATGAGCCAAAACACAAATTAATGTCCCATTTCAATATCAATATTAGGAATAAATAAACAAATACTCTCCGTGTAAGTTTTTCATTTGTTGAAATTTTGCCACCTCTCCATTGTTGAGGTTTCAATTACAAATAAAAATTAAGGTATGTATTAAGAAAAAAAATGTGTGTGTTGATCTTCCTTATTTATAAATTGAATGTTATCTGCACCAAATGTTCATCGGTGTCCACAATGTATTTATCGAGATTTTTAAAACATACATATATTGTTAAACGGGGTCTTTATATTGTTTTATTTAACGATATCAAATGATGTTATGCTGACTTTTCTGTCTTTATCAGAATGTATAACTAATTACATTGATATAACATTGACGATAGGAAACGATAGCGCCATGTTTGTTGAATGGTTTATCGGGATATGTCAATCAGATAGATAAAACATCTGATTTAGTATATATTCTATATAGAAGTATGGAAATGTGACTTTTGAAACAAATACGGATGTGCACTTTTAATTGTCCACGAACAAGCTTATTTTGTCGGTATTTATGGTGAATATCTAGTCCCAGAGATAAAAAACCAAACGTGAAAGCACTTAATTGAATATATGGGTATAGTATGTCACTGGTGTTGTATAAAAATTATGTTGGCTTTTGGGATATATCCTGTCAAAAACTGTTTTTCTTTGTTGTCTGCATATCAAAGCGTATTAGTGGCCGAAGGGTCTGGCTCATAGAGTGTATATTTCTGCATATGTCTTTGCTAAACCTCAGCCGACACCAAATCTAGCATGACGTCAAAATATAGAAAACCAATTTTCTTCTACAATATGACATTATTAATTTCAAAATGGATTTTGAACAACGGTGGAGTATTTTTGATATATTCAATTTATACATGTGTAGTCTTTCTTGTTTTTCAGTCCTTGGCAGAATTCACCTTAAGGATAACCCTAAGAACACTGTACATACCTGCTTGTCCATGCATTAAACCAAGTAATACTTGTCTGCCGGTGTGTCATCCAGCTGCCCAAATCTGTTTTAGGTAAAAGGAACTACCAACAATGTTTTTAAAACTGCACAAGTGTTGTTGAAGGGTAACCTTTATATGGTTTTGTTGTTTCACAGCGGTCTTCAAATAAAGAATGTGTGACGACTTTAGTTTTTGTCAGTAAAGAAAATTATATCGTCTATATACACTGTATACTTGTTGTATTGATGGAAGTATTCTTCATGTGATAGCAATTTTTATTTTACCACAGAGAGAGCGCGCGGAATATATGTACCAGGGTTATCAAAGGTACAACAGATTATTCTGGCATTCAACACACGACATTTGGACCACAGATCGGGAATCTACATAATCCTATTGTGATGAAATTTCCGTCGTGGTCGGTAAGATTGGCGAGCTAATGTAGACGTTAAAGTATTAAACAGAAATAAATTGTTTTATTCGCATCACACACTGGAACTATTTCAACAGTTTAAGATAAAAAAGAACTTTCATCAATCAACATTTCATGAATGATAGGTTTTATATTATCATGGTTTTGTAGCCTAGGTACAGGTTCCAGATCCTTTTCTATGGTAACGGTCAAGCGACACATCTGATTGGCTCCTTTCTCGTCACACCATTCCTGCCGAATACAAGTGTTACTATGGAAGGTCAGGATGTCCGGAATATAACAAACACAAATTACAACACAAAAGCGGTGTAAGTAACCAGACAATACAAAAAAAAAAGAAGTTAACTGTTACCATCATCACAACACACACAACATCCGGGGTAGTATTTGTCAAAGGTCAACTACTACCATCGTAACAACACACACAACATCCGGGTTAGTATTAGGCAAATGTCAACTATTACCATCATCACAACACATACAACATCCGGGTTAGTATTAGTCAAAGGTCAACTATTATCGTTGTCACAACACACACAACATCCGGGGTAGTATTAGTCAAAGGTCAACTATTATCGTTGTCACAACACACACAACATCCGGGTTAGTATTAGATAAAGGTCAACTATTACCATCGTAACAACACACACAACATACGGGTTAGTATTAGAAAAAGGTCAACTATTACCATCGTAACAACACACAACATTCGGGTTAGTATTTGTCAAAGGTCAACTATTACCATCGTAACAACACACACAACATCCGGGTTAGTATTAGACAAAGGTCAACTATTATCGTTGTCACAAGACACACAACAACTGGGTTAGTATTAGTCAAAGGTCAACTATTATCGTTATCACAACACAAACAACATCCGGGTTAGTATTAGATAAAGGTCAACTATTACCATCGTAACAACACACACAACATACGGGTTAGTATTAGAAAAAGGTCAACTATTACCATCGTCACAACACACACAACATCCGGGTTAGTATTCGTCAAAGGTCAACTATTATCGTTGTCACAACACACACAACATCCGGGTCAGTATTAGTCAAAGGTCAACTATTACCATCGTCACAACACACACAACATCCGGGTTAGTATTAGTCAAAGGTCAACTATTATCGTTGTTACAACTATTACCATCGTAACAACACACAACATTCGGGTTAGTATTTGTCAAAGGTCAACTATTACCATCGTAACAACACACAACATCCGGGTTAGTATTCGTCAAATGTCAACTATTATCGTTGTTAAAACACACACAACATCTGGGTTAGTATTGGTCAAAGGTGAATTATTATCGTCGCCACAACACACACAACATCCGGGTTAGTATTCGTCAAAGGTCTTTTATTATCGTTGTCACAACACGCACAACACCAGGGTAGTATTCGTCAAATGTCAACTATTATCGTTGTCATAGCACACACAACATCCGGGTTAGTATTTGTCAAATGTAAACTATTATTGTTGACACAACACACAACAACATCCGGGTTAGTACTCGTCAAATGTCAACTATTACCATCGTAACAACACACACAACATCCTGGTTAGTATTTGTCAAAGGTCAGCTATTACCATCGTCACAACACACACAACATCCGGGTTAGTATTTGTCAAAGGTCAACTATTATCGTTTTCAAAACACACAACATCCAGGGTAGTATTGGTAAAAAGACAACTATCATTGTTATCACAACGCACACAACATCCGGGTAAGTACTCGTCAAAGGTCAACTATTATCGATGTCACAACACACGCAACATTCTGGTTAGTATTCGTCAAAGGTCATCAATAACCATTGTCACAACACACAACATCCGGGTTAGTATTCTTCAAATGTCAACTATTACCATCATCACAACACACATCTTCATCCGGGTTAGTATTAATCAAAGGTCAACTATTATAGTTCTCACAACACACACAACATCCGGGTTAGTATTACTCAAAGGTTAACTGTTACCATCGCCATAACACACAGAGCCTCCGGGGTAGTATTACTAAAGGGTAAACTAATATCGTCGTCATAATACACACAACATCCGGGGATGTATTATATTCCAATATCAATACTATTTAACTATATTTCCATCATTAGGTTCTCGTTACTGAACCGATAAATAATAGTAACAGTCTTAAGATATATAGCAGAAATGTTCAACGTCAGTACATCACAAAGTACCAATTACCTTATCCTTAGAAATATCATAAAATAACGGTGTGTGTGTTTTGATAATGTAACTTTCCATCAACATTATCTAAAGTGTTGTAATTTAGAAATCATCGGTTTCGATCTAACTGTTACAACATCACCTGATAACGAAAACGTACACTTATTTCATTGACGTTTTGAAGCTCGTAAAGGAACATTATACTCAAACGGTAATCGTAATGATATTGAAATTATCAAATAGCTAAATATTACATTCTTCATTTTCCTAAGACTAAACCTGGCTTACGAGGTGTTCAGAAGTGCATGCACACCACATCCGGAACAACATCGTGTGTGTAATCAAGATGGCCGCTTAGTATGCGAGAAGGACCGCTACGGACCGAACTGTGACAGGGTTTGTGAACCAACCGACCATGGAACCTGTGATAAGCTGGGACAGTTGGTCTGTAACGACAACTACTACGGAGTCAAATGTGACATACACTGCCTGCCTACTGAACATAAAATGTGTGATAATGGTGACAACCTGCGATGTCGTCCGAACTATTACGGGCCGCAGTGTGATGTTCACTGTATATCAACGTCCAACGGAAGATGTGATCAGCACGGAAACCTACGATGTTTACCGAAATACTACGGAACAAACTGTAACGTATACTGCGAAGCTACGGGGAATACAAACTGTACCAAGACCGGAAGAAAAGTATGTAAAGATTTCTTTTATGGAACAAATTGTGAATACCGTTGTGGATCCACCATCTCATCACATTTCACCCGGAATACCGAAGGATCGCTAGTTTGTACAAGTGACTTTTATGGCCCATGTTGTAACCTGACGTGTCCACAGCATGGTCACTGTAACGGTACTTACCTCGTCTGTAATACAGGATATTTCGGATCCACGTGCGAAAAGCATTGCCTGTCAACTGACCACGGTACATGCGACTCTAACGGACATTTAGTATGTGATGTCAATTTTTATGGATTATCGTGTGGCGTAGCATGTGTTCCGTCTGAACATAAGGTATGTGACAATAATGGAACGCTAACATGTGATAGAGATTACTACGGAGATTCGTGTGATGTTTTCTGTTCTGTTCCCAATGGTCATGGTGTTTGTAATAGTTCTGGACAACCTCTGTGTAACCAAGCATTCTACGGCTCGAGCTGTAACCAGTCATGTCCTGTGAAAGCAAACGGACATTGCATGACCAACGGAATCGTGGTTTGTGACAAAAATTATTTCGGACCCTTATGCGAAACTTTCTGTGAGGTTCCAGATAATCACCATGGAAAGTGCGGCAACACAGGAATAGCGCATTGTTTTGGTCCATACTACGGTAAAAATTGTACACATACATGTCCTGTAACAAAGAATGGACATTGTCTTTCCAACGGCACGGTGGTGTGTTCTTCGTCTTATTATGGCCAAACATGTGAAATACACTGTACCAACGTTCCGCATGGAACATGTGATAGCCTCGGTACTCTACGCTGTAACAACAACTACTACGGGACCAAGTGTAATCGCAAGTGCGTACCGGCAGATCATGGAAAGTGCTCTCCTGACGGAATACTTATTTGTAATCCAACATACTACGGTGACACATGTGATATTCTTTGCATTAATGTGACACATGGAAGCTGTGACGTCACGGGAAAATTACAGTGTGACCTCCAATACTTTGGACCAGGGTGTGATGTCCATTGCGTGAATACCACACATGGAAGCTGTGACGTCAGCGGGAATCTAAAGTGTGACCTCCAATACTATGGTCCCTCATGTGATGTCTACTGTGTCAATGTGACACATGGGAGCTGTGACGTCAGCGGGAATCTACAGTGTGACCTCCAATACTATGGTCCCTCATGTGATGTCTACTGTGTCAATATGACACATGGAAGCTGTGACGTCACGGGAAAATTACAGTGTGACCTCCAATACTTTGGACCAAGGTGTGATGTCCATTGCGTGAATACCACACATGGACGCTGTAACGTCAGCGGGAATTTGCAGTGTGAACTCCAATACTATGGACCAGGATGTGATGTCTACTGTGTCAATATGACACATGGAAGCTGTGACGTCACGGGAAAATTACAGTGTGACCTCCAATACTTTGGACCAAGGTGTGATGTCCATTGCGTGAATACCACACATGGAAGCTGTGACGTCAGCGGGAATCTACAGTGTGACCTCCAATACTTTGGACCAAGGTGTGATGTCCATTGCGTGAATACCACACATGGAAGCTGTGACGTCACTGGGAATCGACAGTGTGACCTCCAATACTATGGTTCCTCATGTGATGTCTACTGTGTCAATGTGACACATGGGAGCTGTGACGTCAGCGGGAAACTGCAGTGTGACCTCCAATACTATGGTCCCTCATGTGATGTCTACTGTGTCAATATGACACATGGAAGCTGTGACGTCACGGGAAAATTACAGTGTGACCTCCAATACTTTGGACCAAGGTGTGATGTCCATTGCGTGAATACCACACATGGAAGCTGTGACGTCAGCGGGAATCTACAGTGTGACCTCCAATACTTTGGACCAAGGTGTGATGTCCATTGCGTGAATACCACACATGGACGCTGTGACGTCAGCGGGAATCTGCAGTGTGAACTCCAATACTATGGACCCATGTGTGACGTCAGGTGCATAGAGGTGGTACATGGTCATTGTTCGTTAAATGGCTCCTTATTTTGTGATGAGGAATTTTTCGGTTCGAATTGCTCGCAGAAATGTCATATTGAAAATGTTGAAGGCAGGAGGAATGGTCATTGTGTCACCAATGTCGGCCCCTTATGTGATCCAGGTGAGAGCAAGAAAAAAAATGTGATTACAATATCAACAGTTGAATCCAAGTACCCGATATGGTGTCAATGGAATTTAGTGTTGACTTGTTCTGTTTTAACTTATTTAAGTTATGGTGTAAATACTATTAAGGAGACCGGTACAGGCCATTATCAGAGGCAATACAGGAGGAATTGGTAATAGCTCATTTTAGATATTTTATAACTGAACATATTCAGCTTTCAAATATATTTAAGGAGGTTATCAAAGTAGTTTTCCTTTGTATGAGCAAATCAAGACACGAAAAGGGACAAATGATTTATGACGTATGTGCTTTTTTTATCAATGTATTTTATTTCATTTCTTTTTCATCTTATACACTTACTAAACTGTTACTATGCGATTAAAATGGAATGTCTTTCTCAAGGGTTTGAAGGACAACACTGCGAAGTAAATATCAACGAATGTCTGAATGTCACCTGCTACAATGGCGGAAGTTGTGTTGACAACATTAACTCCTACGCATGCGTGTGTACCACAGGATTTTCCGGAACCAACTGTGAGATTGAAACAGGCCACTGTAGAAGTAGCCCATGCTACAATAACGGTACATGTGTTAATAGAATTGGATCATTCGCTTGTCTGTGTGAATCCGCTTACACAGGTAATTTATGTCACATAAAACTGTCTACTACTTTAGAGACGACGAGGTCATCTAATGGTACCACTACATCGAAGATCTCTACTTCTCCGCCTACAACAACGATCTCTTCTACTCCAGGTAAAACAAAAACTTTTACTACTCCATCCACTGCAAATACGACTCCAGGTACGTTAACGACCTCTTCTGCTCCAGGTACACCAAATGCCTCCATTACTCCTACTACAACTAAAATATCTACTACCCTAACTACTACACAGACCTCTACTACTCCAACTACTATAGAGACCTCTACTACTCCAACTACTACAGAGACCTCTACTACTCCAACTACTACACAGACTTCTACTACTCCAACTAGTACAGAGACCTCTGCTACTCCAACTACTACACAGACTTCTACTACTCCAACTACTACAGAGACCTCTACTACTCCAACTAGTACAGAGACCTCTACTACTCCAACTACTACACAGACTTCTACTACTCCAACTACTACACAGACTTCTACTACTCCAACTACTACAAAGACCTGTACTACTCCAACTACTACAGAGACCTCTACTACTCCAACTTCTACACAGACCTCTACTACTCCAACTACTTCACAGACCTCTACTACTCCAACTAGTACAGAGACCTCTACTACTCCAACTACTACAGAGACCTCTACTACTCCAACTTCTACACAGACCTCTACTACTCCAACTACTACAGATACCTCTACTACTCCAACTACTACAAAGACCTCTACTACTCCAACTACTTCACAGACCTCTACTACTCCAACTACTACAGAGACCTCTACTACTCCAACTACTACAGAGACCTCTACTACTCCAACTTCTACACAGACCTCTACTACTCCAACTACTACAGAGACCTCTACTACTCAAACTACTACAGAGACCTCTACTACTCCAACTACTACACGGACTTCTACAACTCCAACTACTACAGATACTTCTACTACTCCAATCACTATAGAGACTTCTACTACTCCAACTACTACACAGACCTCTACTACACCAACTACTACACAGACCTCTACTACTCCAACTACTCCACAGACCTCTACTACTCCAACTAGTACAGAGACCTCTACTACTCCAACTACTACAGAGACCTCTACTACTCCAACTACTACACAGACTTCTACTACTCCAACTTCTACACAGACCTCTATTACTCCAACTTCAACAAAGACCTCTACTACTCCAACTTCTACACAGACTTCTACTACTCTCAAACTACTACAAAAACCTCTACTACTCAAACTACTAAAATATCAACGGGTGTAATTACAACTGGAACCTCTACTGTCCCAGGTATAAAAGAGACCTCTAATTATCTAGCTGCAATGAAGAACTCTTCTACCCCAACTACAACAAATACCTCTACTACCCTTACTTCAATAAGACATCTTTTATTCCAACTAAAACTATAACCTCTTCTACACCTATTGCAAGTATGACGTCTGTACCAATTAAATATAAGAACTCTACTGTCTCGATCACAGGTAAGGCCTCTACTCCTTCAAATGCAATTGAAACCTCTACTTTTTCTACTACGACTAATATCTCTACTTCATATAAGGATAGAATTTGTTAAATATATATGACACAGTTCATTACTTATTCCAGTGTCTCCGCTAGGATTCGAATCCGTGACCTCCGGTTTACTAAAGAGAAGCTCTCTCTGGTCGAGCGGCATATTGCGGCTAGTATTTTACCAGGGTTACATATATGATATTTCTGTTAACTGATATTTTTGTTACTTTACAAAACTTAAAGTCGGATTCAGAGAGCGTTTGCGTTTGACGTTTACTCGAAATATTTAGCTTGACAGTTATATCCAAATGAGATGAGCCCCATTATCTGTACACTCCGATATATCTACAAAAATTCTACCTTCCACATCAAATTTTAATTTACTGGGATTTTCAGGAGTTTATTTTCCGCTGAAAAGGTCAACGTATTCTGACTATATAAAGTTGTTTGTTATTTCCGCAGTTGATTCAACATATACGTCGATTCAGTTAAATTTTGATGGAATCATCGATCAGAAATCGATACCAAAGGTAAACAACGCACTGTCATCGATATTATCGTCAGGATTGTGTTTAGGATCAAAAGTTTATATTAAAGAACAGACGACCGAGATTAAGGATAAAGGGTATGTATATCCATACTATTGATGTTGTACTGGAATATTTTTTTTGTTATGGTCCATGGGTGCTAAATTATCTCCTCTGTCCGAGTTGTAGTTTGAATTAATATATAGGTTGAAAGGTATCTCTTATCAAAAGTGTCTTCATTTAGTATCTTCACATGGTGGGTGTCGTCAGTGAAACGGAGGAGACTTACTCTCCCGGAACACATGGTCTTATTCTCCTTGTACTTTTTCAGGAGTCTCCGTGTAAATCTTTATTTTGTTCATATTTTGCCATAGTTTTATTGAATTTGAGTTTTTATTATGATGGTGGTGAAATGTTCGTATTTTCTTGTCGTTTCTTGAACTGACTAAAGTATCTGAAAATTAAGAAGACATTTTATCAATACATTTTTATTTTTGCGTTCCACTTAACTGCTGATATTGAACATTCCAATTCAATATCACTTTTATCATTACTTATAAGCACAACATTAATTCCCTCAATTTTCACTAGGAGCCAACACTCAACCTTGAAACTCTCTGTCTCCTGTGATGGCAAATCTCTCAGCACAAGCGAAATCTATGCGGAGGTTTACAGAGCGCCGGATGCCATATTTCCACTCCCGTTGATAAACACCAACCCACAAACTACCGACCCACCTGCAAGACAATCAGGAGTAAGACTATTTTATGACGTTTACCTATAAAATCTACTTAAAAAACATACCCAACTGCTATCATATCCAGATTAGATCTAGTATTGTCTTTGTTTTTTTGTGATTTGTAAAATCCTAATTCAGTGTAAACAATGATTTTCTTGTATTTCGTTTCTTAAATGTCCGTGTCATGGACAATGCAAAGTTCATATTTATGTCAGGGTTCAGAGCGTGAATAAGAAATAGGATACTCACTGTGAAAATAACACTAAATTTATATATACTACAGGACTGGTTGGAAAAGAACTGGAAAATCCTCCTTGGGGCATCTCTGGGCGTGACTGTCATTCTGTTTATCATAGTAGGAGTACAGCTCGGGAAAAGGTGAGTACTGTTTCGTACCAACAGATGATATAGATAAATGTCTATGTAGTTTATAATGAATACTTGTGATAGTCCGAGGCTATCTATTTGAAATTAGAATAAATCACAATATATGCAAGTATTGAAATATTACATGCATTATCAAATATATCACGATTTCTTGTAATCGAAGATGAACTTAGGAAAAATATGAAACAATTTACTAAAATATTTGAATTTGCAATTTAAATGGTTAGTAAGTAATACGTGATCTCTATATTATGTCAGTTTGTCCTCTCCTTAATATGACGTCACACCACGAGGAATGCTATGTTTTTTGTTTTAACTTTATTTATCTTACAACAATTGTGAAACAAGTTATTTCAACTTATACTAATCACTCTTGTTGGCCCTGATGTAAGCGCGCGGGAGGTTTTACTGTGAGAGGAAACCGGAGTACCCAGGGGAAACCCACGTGGTTGGTCAAATGACCCCCTTACCTTTCCATGTCTGTCCCTAGAATAGAACCCCGGACGGCTAGGTGAAAGACGAGTGCGTTACCGCTGCGCCATCCGACAATGTAGCAGCCATTTCTCGGATAATGTAATCTTGTGATATAATCCAATAAGTTATACATGGAAACATTACAACAAATTTCAAGACTTTTTCCGTTTGTGTGATGTTTCTAAATCAGTAGACATTTTTACTTGCTAAACAGAATACCATTCAATATATAAATGAAGGATAGTGAGTCCGAACTGCAGAGAAACCAAAATTTTGATCAGTGTTATTCATGTTGCAGGTCTAGAAGACGGTATAGGAATGGAGCCCAGGAAATAGAAGAAGTATTTGATAATGTGCACAGTAACCCTTTGTATGCGAACTCGTCAGAGCAGGTTATAAAACTACGAGAATTTGAATACGAGGCTTGATACCAACATATTACATTGTAACTCTGGCAGAAACTGTACAGAATGTGTAGGCAGATTTAAAAAAAATCCGTGTGTTGCTATTGCCTGCCTCTCAAATAGGATATATTTTACTTGCTCTGGAGAGATGATATCGAGATCGGAAAAAATCATACGGGTCATTGTTGATGAACCGGTTTCCTGTCAAATCATGAAAGCTTCCATTGTCCCATTTATTTCGATGCCTCCGCTAGGATTCGAACCCAAGTCTTCTGGTTTTCTAGTCTGCGGCTTAACCGATCGAGCTATAGAAAAGTTCTCTCTTGCCGAGCGGTGTATTTTACTAGGATAATAAACAGATTTAAGGATTTTCATCGTTAACTTTTAATATAGGTTTTGATTTATTTAAATTCCTATTCACATATGGCAGTATTTCAACGACGTAACGTTTCATTGCTGTTTTAGCTTGGTGATTAAGTGATATCGCTTGAAACATTTGTGTGTTTTTTCATTCTCGATTTTAGGGATTTCAATAGTTTAGAAGGTAAAAACGATGAAATATATTATTGAAATGTTATCTTGTGCATGATGATAATTTTGGAATTACAGCTATGGGAAAGTAACTAAATAATTATAAAAAAACTAATTTTACTTTCCAAACTGGCTTCCTAGCTTAATTAGCAAACACCTTTTGTTTTTTTACAAAGAACAATTACTTGTATGGCTTGCATTGATAGCAATGCTTACCATTGATAATTCTAGACCTACAAATCATTTTCTGATTCAGGTACATGCGTAAAATTACACAACGCTTATACGTTTTAATGGTGTTCAAAATTACATCATCATAACGGCGCATATCAAGAACGAAAGTTTTCGGGCAAACTGCATCAAATAATTACGAAAAGTGTTTAAATATCATAAAGTTGCCATATATTTTATCGGTGAATAGTTTATTTCACATTTGTGATATATCTTTTATACATGTTCCTCGTTTGACGAAATTCTATCTTAAATGTCACCAACACACATGCCCATATAAGCATAATCCTTTCATTATCATTGTTATAAAGTTACTCTATGAAGGACATATGCAACATTACTTTTGTTGTTGTTTTAACATTGACTTACTGATTTTGAATTAAAGATATATTTCTGTAACTTAAAACTAATTTGATCACGTGCTGAATACATCAATGATTACACGTATCGTGCTGATATCGTCTACTGTAACAAACAAAGCACGTGCTAGAGCATATTCCAATCTAGTAGGATCTTTTTGATGTGTTGTCCTCTTGTAGTAGATATAGTATACCTCACTGGACAAACAGACAGCATGGCAGACGGACGGACGGACGGCGAGACTGACAGACAGATGAAAGGACGGACAAACAGAATTATTTTCTCACTTGACAAAGACTAAAATCAATCAATTTATATGTATGGAAGAAGGTGGGGAGGAGGAGGTATGTGTATGTGTGTAAGATATATATGGATGTGGGTGGATATGTGTTTGTGTGTCAGGGTGGGTGTGTATGAGTGTGAGGGAGGGTGTGATTGTGTGTGAGGGAGGGTGTGAGGTAGGGTGTGATTGTGTGTGAGGGAGGGTGTGATTGGGTGTTAGGGAGGGTGTAAGGGAGGGTGTAATTGTGTGCGAGGGATTCACATCATATCTATTTTCATGTATACTCTACATACCCTATGTCAGGAAATTGATCTTGATATCATTTTTCAAACAATGCCTTTTTAGTCATTACCATTGGAGTAGCATTATGTTAATACATTATGTGTCACCAAGTGAATCAAACTTATCGAACACCAACCATGTTATTAAAAAAAACCTAAAAGACTTTGTTGCAATGTTAAACATCTCTTTGTTGTGTCCTCCACTGATTAATCCGATTATAATATATATCTAACCAGACTTAAGCATTCCATAACGCGCTGTTTTTCGTCCATTTATAGAAGATTTCTCACCAGAAAATATTCATGCTATTTCAAGACCTTTACACAGAAAAACGCTAAGGATGTTTAGACTAGTCCATAGACTTCACATTGTATATACCAATTTACATTTATTGGTAAAGCTTCTTCTTGTTAATTCTATCTCATTAAACCGATTTTTGAAATTTTATTTTGTTGATTTTTTTTCTATCAAACAATAAAATGATTAAGTGTATTGCATTATTCCACGAAGAAAGAATACTTCTCTGAAAGTTTCAGCACTGGAGAAAAAGTTGGAAAGGTAGGTGTTTTGTTGCATAATTAAAAAATAAATAAAGAAGTGTGTGAAATGTACGATATTGCTTATCATTATCCGAATAAAGACAACAGGCATAGCCTATGAAGGTACTCTGTTTGCTGTTGTTTACAAATATACACATCAGTAAGATATTGCGTAAGTAAAGGGATTAATACTAACAGTTTTATTGATAAAAATATCAATCAGTGATCAGGACGAGATTCAGTCGGAAAGTCAACTTGAATGCATTCCAGCAAAGTGTCCATTTTGGCAATACATATTCACCCTCCTTTACTGGATCCAGACAGACAACGAGCAGACAAAAACAGGTCACAATAATGTATGAACGGGATATTTAATTGACCGGTATCGGTAATGTATCTCTCTGTCAACTCCAGAACGGAATTATGCATAACTGCATCTAGCTCATGGTAATAATTCAGAACTGTTTACAGGAATACGATCGTTTAGGTCATAAAGAGACGTTAAAAGGAGTTAATGTTAATGAAAGGAGAACCAGGAAGAAAGAAGTGAGAACAGTCTTCAATCGGATGACTACAAGCACACGGACAGGGCTATCTGTTAAGTGGGAATTAGATAAATCGTCGCTCACATTACTAACAGGATTGCATAACTTACATAGTGGTGTCAAATGTTCTTTTCTCAATTAACTTTTAAAAACATAGTTTTCGGCATCTGCAACAAGTTGAAATAAGACATCTGTTTTACTGCACTAATAGACGACATTGGTGGAACAGACAAGATGGGTAATTCCATTCGGGGAGTGGGAGGGGGTTACTGTTTGTTTGCCATTTGTATACATTATTTGCCGTAATCTTCCAAACAAATCAACTTATTCCAGTTAAGCTCTATGTAATAAGACGAAATTGAAAACATATCAGGTTGTCTGTAAATAGAAAGTTTGTACATGTAAATAAAGTGAAACAAACTATATTACAATACATTTTGTTGATACGAAGTTATATTTATTATAAGATGTATACACGAAAAGACAACAAATGTCACTTTACAGAAGTTGTTACTGCAGAGGAAACACAATGACGAGCGCCATCTACAAACATTATCTGACCAGAAATGAACGACGCTTGTTCAGAAGCCAGGAAAGCAATGGCTTGAGCGACATCTTGTGGAACCCCTACCCTGCCGATAGGGTGTTTCGTAGTCTGTATATCTAGAAACTAAAACAAAACATAATTTGTCATCAAGCTATATCTTCGAAAACTGATCAGATATTGATGTTTATCCTGCAACTGGCACTGCCATTGTCGGAATACACCTGCAACATATATTTTTGCTGTATTCGGAAGCAGTATTTTAGCACGTGCGGTAATTCGACAAAATTTCTTTCTGGATTTGCTGAAATATTAGCTTAGAAATATGAATAGTTGGTGAAATAAACGATTTTACATGTGGTAATGAACATGTTGATCTATTGAAATTCATAAAATCGATGTTATATCCGATGAAGTTTGGAACTATGTTTCCACGTGGAGCAATCATTTTGGCGTCCGTCATCAGGCAAAATTAAGCGTAACATCAACATCGGGTAAACATAGTTTGAACAACAAAATTGTTTCAGTTTCAATAGTCTAATTTTTAATAATTGTTGCTGGATAAATAGACTACATGACCAGTGTCCTAAAATATAATGACTTTTTTGGCGATATTGAAGAAAGACAAAAGTGGTGAGTTTGTGTCGAGTCTGTGGCGAGCTGCTGTTGTCTTTCTGTTCATAGCCATCTATCTTCCTCCAATAACTCAAAGTGAAAGACTAGAAACACACCTTCCCTAATCAATACGAAGACTATTTCATTTCCCCTAAATTTCAACTGTATCAGACACCTGTTTCGCCCGTTTAGTGATGTTTAGGCTTCCTCAATTCATCTTCATATATCTCAGATATTTGTTGTCTTCCTAAAGTGTATGGCTATTTTTAGCCACTATCAATATGTACTTAAGGTTGGTACGTAAGGATACGACATTCAGCAAGAACACAAGTCCATTGGTATGATACCTTCCGATAGTCTTCCTCCTTTTGGTAAGCAGAATGGCCACGACGGGTAATCATACTGATAACTGTTCCTGGACTGAAAATATTACATATATTTCATAACAGTTGAACACGTTGAAATACAATTGTGATCAGTTTTAGCATCTTTGTTTATCAAAATCTTACAAATTTCTAAAATTAATTCGAAAAGTGTATGGTTTAACAACACGTTAAGGAAAATGGTTTCTACAATGACAAAATGTCTTTTACTTGTCCTGATATCGTTATCAAAGCGTATATGATATTTATGCTTTACATTCCAAGGCGCTTTAAAATATGTCATAAATTTATATATATATATATATACACGTATACCAAGCCAGGGGAGATAACTTTATAGTTTCCTAAGACTTGGCTTCATCTATCCATCTAGTCATCAGGAATATTTTAATTTCTCTTCTCTTTTCAATAATGATATATAAATATGAGTGCAAAGTGTAATTGTTTTCGTTGCGATCACATATATTGCTCAGTGTCTAGAGTGCAAAACATACCAAGATTGATATAAAACATTTTGAGATTTCAACCACCATCTTACATACAACAACTAATGATGTATTTTGTCCGTATTAAAGGGCCTTCGGCGTCCATCAGCCAAAGGAATTATCGAGACACCTAAATGAACACCTCCGCTCTCGATTTAGATTAAAACTTTGTATTTGTTTTATGTTCTATGTATGTGATGTAATTTACGTAATATTTGTGTCTTGATAAAGGGGCAGAATGCCTCGAAAATTTGACAATTCGCTTGTCAGTACTGTTGCTATTACTTCATTGATCATATGAATTAAAACGTTTAAAACCCAAATCCGATCTCAAGTAACATCTTTAAGTTTTAAACTTCATGTGGTGAAAATCAGTTTTTAAACATCGATACTTATGTGAAAGAAAACTATCTGCTGAATCTTTAAGTAAACTTTTTTAAAAGAAACAACAAAGTCAGGAGAAAATATTGCTATATGCTAAATAGTGTCTATCTTTCAAAGAATTATCATGTTTTTGGTATGTCTAAAACACAAAGCTTAACTACAGCCTTTATAACTAGTAAATAGATAAATTATAGCTTGTTAAAACTTAACGATACTACACCTACTTGACAGCATTCACGCGAACACCGAACGGAGCAAGTTCTGAAAGGAGATAACTAGTATATAATAATACAAAGATAAAAGACAATTAATTCTATCTTTCTATACCGTGTCTATCTGAAACAATATGCAAAACCTATCGGGAAACAGTTTCGTTGGGTTGGTTCGTATATACAGAAGTTATTATCTAAGATATATATGAGATAGTTATATAGATAAAACAAATTGTAACCAGTAGTAACTGGTTGTGTGTAATATTTCTGTTGATTGGGTGTTTACCATGTATGATACCCAGCATTACACACTTAAAGGATGTGAATAAAATATAGTAACAGATGAATACTTGGATCATTGATATTTGATATAAAAGTGGTAGTCATGTGACAAAGTAAAAATGGTAGTCATGTGACAAAGTAAAAATGGTAGGCATATGACAAAGTAAAAATGGTAGTCACGTGACAAAGTAAAACTGGTAGTCATGTGACAAAGTCAAAACTGTAGTCATATGAACAAATAGAGACTGTAGTCATGTGACAAAGTAAACACGATAGTCACTTGACGAAGTTTAAAATGTTGTCATGTGACAAAGTCAAAACTGAAGCTATTTGACGAAGTCAAATTTGTAGTTATGTGAAAAGGTCAAAAGTGTAGTCATGTAACAAAACGACCATTGAAGACGACTTAGTGAAACCGAATGATCGTTTTAGACCATTGCAATTTTTGTATAAGACCGATTTCGTAGTATCATGTCAAGGTGTTCACTAACATTTTAAATTATGATATTTTCCTAAAATAAAGATAAATTTATTACCAGAAAAATGTGTTTGCCCGGTGTTTTACTTCATACAGTGCAGCAATACATGTATTTAATTTCATGACTGATTGGATCACTCTATGTTATATTATAGTGCTGTTATACTGAAATGTCATTGCCGAGATAGTATGATGTTCTATTCAATCATGTAATATTGACAACAGGATATCTATAATGCTGCTTTTATCGAAACTAATCTAAAGTATAATGTCAAACAGTTGGCAACAAGAACCAACGTCGTGAACTTGGTCTGTTCCCTTTATAATAACGGCGCCATGTCAACTCATCCTTATTGAAATCGTCAGTGATCAAAACGGCCTAAACCTGGGACGCGGCTCAAGGAACCAATCATCGAAAGAAATATATCATAATATAGATAGGGCAGTGTACTAGTCCCACAGTTCAGTATATAAGATATAAGTATAGTAATTGTGTAAAGTACATAGTTACCTAAAGCCAGACACTCTGTGAAGGAATCCATCGCTGCCTTACTCATACAGTAGGCTGTTACAGCTGCCATCTAGTCGGGATTGTCCGAAAAACAAATATACAGTACATAAATATTATCTATGCCCCACCCCCACCCCAAAAAAATACAAAACAAAAAATAACAATGATAAAACAATATAAACAGAAAAAAAACTGCCCCCCCTCCCCCCCCCCCCCCAAAAAAAAAAAAAATCACACACAAAAAATAAAAAAAAACAAAAACAAAACAAACAAACAAACAAAAATAGAAAAAATCAATCAAAAAAAAAAATAAGAAAACCGTAATAGAAAAATTGTAGGAAACTTCCGGTGTCATCTTTGTTTACATAAGCTGTGAGTAAAAACTTCTGATGATGGCAGAACACCACAATAAATTACATGTACAATATTTACTCATGATATCCTGTAAGAGTTGACGAATGAACCAGAGAATAGATTTTTGATGATTGTGAATTAACAGAAACAGCTCCTGTTAACTCATCGCACAGCTGTTTTTTTCAAGACTAACTAATCTGACAAATTAGAAAATAAAAAAGTGAATGGAATATATTTTCTACGTATGTCTAGTCTGATGGACACATCTTATACTCACAGCTCGTTGTCCACATATGCTTGATACATTCACAATGTTTCCTGAAATAACAAAGGTGACGATAAAATTAAGTGAAGGATGATATAATCTAAAAAGTGGAATAACATCGGTGATATCTGGCTGTTTCAAGTATAGGTACAGCATATCACATCCAATAAAATCACAAATGTTACAAAGCAAGAATTGACTTGAAAATTGATTTTAATAGTAAGTATTACGACAACAACAATAAAATCATCATCATCATCAACAACAACAACAACAACAACAACAACAACAACAACAACAACAACAACAACAACAACAACAACAACAACAACAACAACCTCCCGACATGTCACTATATTCTGAATCAAAAATTCAAATTTAATGAAACAAGGTCAAACTGAGGTCAAACTAGGTCAAAATATGAACAATGGAAAGATTTACGCCAGGACCTTCACAATACACAGGGAAAATAAGACCAGGTGTTCTTTTTGGGCAAGAACCTTCTGTTTCATCGAAAACACCCGCCACGTAAATCTTGGTCAGTGTAAGTAAGTCATGTCACGGTCACTCTCGTGAAAAAGGTTAGCGGCCATAAAAGTTATGTGACTATCAGCAGTTATATCTCCTCTACTAATATGGTGCATGGTCTATTTATTTGTCTTGGCTGTTTTTACCTCAAAACCATTTCATATCAGATAGGTGAAATACTCAAAGCTCATCACCACATCGAAAACAACATGATAATACCAACAAGTCAACATAACCATAATCAAAAAATATTTTACACTGAGATTCCTGAAAAAGTACAAGGAGAATAAGATCAGATGATCCGGAATAGTTAGCGTCTTCTGTTTCACCGACAACACCTTTGTCAATCCGAGTGAATAATGTCACGTTCTCAAATGGGAACATATACAACAACGGAACGAACAGGCAAACTAACGAGCATGAAACAAATCCAGGTTTTTATCGTACAAAGAAATAGAACATTTCTCAATGAAATCACAATGATGACTGTAAAACTTCCCCATAATTTTCATCATGCTGCGTCTTCTGAAACCCCGTGTTACAAGTTTTCCCGTCAACTGGCGCCTTAGTGTCGGGAATTTGTAGTTTTCAATACACGATTTATTGATTAGTTGAACATTATCACTAAGTTAAAGTTATGTAAACGAAACAACAGAAATAAATAATGATAAAAGATAAATGAAATAAATAAATAGAAAGATGTTGGATGACCTATAGTTACTTCTCTACCTCTAGTTTCTTTTAAGTAAGGTATTGCCGCTTGTGTGAGAAAGAATTGTGACCGAGTATTGACATTCATCATCTCGTCGTACTGTTCTGGGGTCGTGTCTGTTGTCGTGGAGTACGTGATAGTTCCTGCATTGTTTACCTTTAAAATAAATAAATCGATAACAGTAAATCGTCTGTAACAACAAATGCTTAATCTAAAAATAGCCTCAGCACTTTGTCGTACAGATCATGTGACTTCCATATAGGTATCTATCTAATGACTACGTTAGTGATTGTACAAATAAAAAATATCAGTTAAAACTGTTTGTATCTGTATATCATCAGTATTTTATATCGGGATAATCTATATCGCTAGAACGCTTATCGTTAACCTATTACTGTTCACTCACCAAAACATCGAGTCTTCCAAACGTTTGAATGGTGTGTTTAAGGATCTTCGTTCTGTCATCCTCTGATGTAATTTCCCCAGGAACACAGGTTATCTATTAAAATTTAAATTAATTGTATTGAACAATGATAACTATTTTTCTTTTTTCAATTCATCGACACATTGGACAACATAGGCATGTTATCACGAAAAAATATCGTCAACTCTCTATTTTTAATTCAATCCTATGATGATTTTACCCGTCATTCTTGTGGTACCATGATACAGTAAACTAATAATATATATATGTTTTACTTATATTTTCAAGGCTGATCTGCTTTGATAAACATTATTTTCGAGATACATTTAAACGGAAACATTTCATTAGTAACATTCAAAAGCATGCTTATCTTTCGCTCATAACTGGATTCTCATTTTAGTCTCAACCTGGTTTGTTTTGGAGCTCATTTGATCCATTTCTAAAGGAATCTCATTTCACAGAAATTATACATTTTTCTGCGTTTCGTGTTGGCTAAAGAGCATTTACTTACATGCCCTAAAACTTCTAACACTCAGTAATGATTCACATCTTAACATCACCATTTTTTCCATTCCATTGCAAATAGGTTTTCTAATTTCTGTCAAAACCGGTACGCATAACCTTACCAATTCTAGTTTCCAGCTTCTGAACTTTGTGGGTCATATTTAAAATCGAAGGGTTGCCTCCCCTTGAAGTAAAATAAATCATGCATAACAATGCATACAAATAATGAACGGCTTTTAGTTGGCACTCCTCGGCGTTATAAATCCAGCTTTGTTGAAAGTAGTGTAACATAAATGTGAAATTTTTCATTTTATTAATTTTTGCCCATATCCTCTTTGCATTCATATCACAAATTTTGCATCAATATTCATTTTGGGTTATATTCTTCAAATCTTGTATAATTTTGAATAGTTATGTTTTATCCAATTTTTTCAATAGAGATCAGCTGATAATGGTTTCTTTCTGACGTCATTACAATTCAAAAATCAGACAACCATTGTTTCTTTGCATTCTCATCATTTCCACATTTATTGGAACTGGGTATTGAGATTCTTAATATTGTTTCTGTAGCCCATAACTTTGATGAGATTTCTCGTATTTAATTATACGGACATGTTTCGCTCAATTGTATTTCCGTTTCTGTTAAGACAATGGTTTTCTTTTATCTATGCTAAACACCCTCTTCCTGTATTCAGAAACTAACATCAGATGAAATTACAAAATTATGAAGTGCACACACCTTGGAGTCCTCAAGTCCCGCCTTTTTACACATCTCCACGACTTTCTGGAGGTTATCGATGTTGCGCCCTGTCAGACAAAGCCTCGCTCGGAGTTTAGAGAAATGTAAAGCATTACACCGACAAATATTGTGTCATTATATCTTAAAGTTCAAGCAAAATGCAGTTCCCTGCTTAAGCATTTTACTTAAGTCATACAAAGAAATAGTACATCGAAATTTAGAATAACAGCAGTGCCAAACTGGCAATGCAATTATATTATATATTTGTTTCGCCCTCGTCATTGACGATGAGTATCTGGAAGTTTGAAATGTAGGAGACAAACAAATCCAAAATCTAGATATGGGGAAGTAAAGTAACCGCATACTTTAATTTATAAGTGTCATAATTACTATTATTAAATAGTTTCAATATTACGATATTCTGACAGTACATTCTCAACATTGCCACTGTTGTGTTACAGTAAACCTCAAGGTCTGAGGTCAGCCAGCAGACTGTCACCTGTGTGACTATTGTGTTACAGTAAACATTATATTATGTGTGATATTGTGTTACAGTAAACCTCGCCTGAGGTCATTGACGTCACCTGTGTGACTATTGTGTTAAGTTTGAAATGTCACCTGTGTGACTATTGTGTTACAAACAAATCCAAAATCCTGTGTGACTATTGTGTTACAGTAAACCTCGAGGTCTGAGGTCAGCCGCATACTGTCATGTGTGATATTGTGTTACAGTAATTACTATTATTAAATAGACTGTCACCTGTGTGACTATTGTGTTACAGTAAACCTCGAGGTCTGAGGTCAGCCGGCAGACTGTCACCTGTGTGACTATTGTGTTACAGTAAACCTCGAGGTCTGAGTGTGACTAGTGTTACAGTAAACGAGGTCAGACTGTCACCTGTGTGACTATTGTGTTACAGTAAACATCGAGGTCTGAGGTCAGCCGGCAGACTGTCACCTGTGTGACTATTGTGTTACAGTAAACCTCGAGGTCTGAGGTCAGCCGGCAGACTGTCACCTGTGTGACTATTGTGTTACAGTAAACATCGAGGTCTGAGGTCAGCCGGCAGACTGTCACCTGTGTGACTATTGTGTTACAGTAAACCTCGAGGTCTGAGGTCAGCCAGCAGAAAATATCAACTGTGTGATTATTGTGTCCAGCTTCATATCGTACAATGGAACCAACAGGTAAACTAACGAGCATCAAACACATCTAGCTTCATATCGTACAACGGAACCAACAGGTAAACTAACGAGCATCAAACACGTCCAGCTTCATATCATACAACAGAACCAACAGGCAAACTAACGAGCATCAAACACGTCCAGCTTCATATCGTACAACAGAACCAACAGGTAAACTAACGAGCATCAAACACATCTAGCTTCATATCGTACAACAGAACCAACAGGTAAACTAACGAGCATCAAACACGCCCAGCTTCATATCATACAACAGAACCAACAGGCAAACTAACGAGCATCAAACACATCTAGCTTCATATCGTACAACGGAACCAACAAGTAAACTAACGAGTTTTCCCAAAACACATCTGCTTTCATTTTATTATCAACCATTTAATGATATACATCAACGAAAACGTTTAAGTGCCCCATGAGTATTAATTCGACTGGACTCAGATATATGTTATATCACTGTACAGTACGGTAAGATATTGTTACTTTGTCTTATTGCTTTCAGAAGAGGTTAACCAAAGAGTTGACACATACCTGTGATGAGGACAACTTTGTTGACCAAGCTGTCCATCGTGTAAGCGAGGTACTATCAACTGACCAGTACAAACAGACTGACCAGGGTCTTTACACGTGTTTCATGCACCAACAGGTACGTATACTGACTGAAAAGAACCTGCCGCCGACAGTTGTTGTGACCTCTAGGTCAAGTATCTGCACCAGCAGATAATATATTGGAGGTATTAACTGTAATACATACTGTGCTATAAATAGATGGCCTAGACTTGCATATCATGTACCCTACCTCAGAATATAAACATATATGTAAACTTAGTGAATAATTAAACACCGTTTGTCCTGTTCTAAGACAAACCTAATTTTACAGAGACACATTTCTGAGACATGTCACGTACTTAATATGATTTACAGTGTCTACTGTAAGTAAATTGACAAACACAGACTTATAAAGACCAGCGGAAAGGTTGATCATACAAAATCATATTGCTTGTACATATATCTCTCTCCTTTGGCTTCTTGTTTTTAGAAACAGAAACATTCGTCATTCCTAAAGCTGATCATTAGACATCTGTAATCTCGAACAGATGTCGTTTTCAATACATCTTCAGCATCGGCTCATAACGCTAGACAACAGAACGAATCAAAATTGTGTAAATTCTGAAGTCATTCCCTATCTCTGATTTGCTTCAGTTAAGTTTAATTCATTGATGGGCTCTATGGTATCTACTTCTACATTTGTATTAAAAGGTGCTATTCACTTGTGTGTCTTTTTCTTAAGTCTTCGAGATTGCAGGTTGTATACACTGCTGATGGAAACTAGCCTCCCAAGTGGGCCGTACCCTGCATGCCACGTTTGATTTCATTCGGATAGTTGACCGGTTCAAAGTACACAGACGTATTTGACGTAAAAATATCAGATATATAAAACATACGAAAAATGTTGAACTTTGAGATTGATATACTTCCACATCAGGGTTTTTGCATTTCTCTCGATCACTTTGGATTTTTCTCAGTCGCCTCATAGCTTTCACAATTCAGGTCCATAGCACCAGTGAGTTAAAGACGAAACTGTTATTTGATGCATTGTACTTCATAGTGCAGCCCTACTGTATCTAACTCTTAATTTGTACGTTGCATTAAAAAGTGTTTTTCACTCATGTGTCTGTCGTACAATCGTTAGGGGCGTTAGCTTTTTATGAATGTTTTACTGAAAAAATACCGCCAATACCTCGCGAGCGTAGTATGAGTGTGATTGACAGGGATAAACATAGCACTGATTCTCCAAATAGTTCTAGAATTGGATTGGTATTCGACTGGACACTGGCGTATGTCTTGTGAATCCGAGGCACCCAACACAATCCACACATTGGCGATACCAACAGCAATATAAAGCATCACTCAATACAAATCTTGATATTGATCTTGAAATGCAAGCGCGTACACATACTTTGGAACTAATGTTTTAGCTCTCTTTAATAGCGTATTTTGTTTTGGTCCTATCGACCGTGCCCCTGTAGACGTCAATGATATGCCAAGGTCATTGTTCCAAATCTACTGATAAGTTGAAAAAATATTTTCGATGCAGTTAGATTAGCATTGTATACACTTTTCGTAATCACATACAAAAATAATTAAATTTAGATTCAATTATCATAAACGTCCTTTTACGTTGGATGACATGTAATTTCGTTGACTGTCCATTTGCAGCCTTGTTTTCCAGATATTCCTTGGACTCAACTTTTCATAATATACTCTATGTTATCTTTATGCCGTTCTGTTTATGATTTGACTATAATTTCCAATCAAGTCATGCAAATTTTGAAGCTTATTCACCCTTGTTGACGATATGAAACAGTTGTATTTCGTCTTTGTGTGAACCTCTATGTTGATATTATTGGGCATTTTGTCCAACTTTATTTTCCTTGTGTGTCAAAGTCACTAAAATGTTCTTACGTTTAGTGTTGACTTTTTGTTCAATATGACGTCACGCTTGGGGTTTTCATTGTTGTTAAGATATTTTGTATCTTTGTGTTGACAGTGTCCTGGTATGACGTCATATTTATGTGATACATTTTGTATACAATGTATAGCGTAACATGAGGTTCTGCAATTATTATATATACTTTGTGTTGCAGTATGTTGACTAGTGTTTCTATATTGTATACAGTATGTTGACTAGTGTTTCTATACTGTATACAGTATACAGTATGTTACAGTATGTTGACTAGTGTTTCTATATTGTATACAGTATGTTGACTAGTGTTTCTATATTGTATACAGTATGTTGACTAGTGTTTCTATATTGTATACAGTATGTTGACTAGTGTTTCTATATTGTATACAGTATGTTGACTAGTGTTTCTATATTGTATACAGTATGTTGACTAGTGTTTCTATATTGTATACAGTATGTTGACTAGTGTTTCTATATTGTATACAGTATGTTGACTAGTGTTTCTATATTGTATACAGTATGTGGACTAGTGTTTCTATATTGTATACAGTATGTTGACTAGTGTTTCTATATTGTATACAGTATGTTGACTAGTGTTTCTATATTGTATACAGTATGTGGACTAGTGTTTCTATATTGTATACAGTATGTGGACTAGTGTTTCTATATTGTATACAGTATGTGACTAGTGTTTCTATATTGTATACAGTATGTTGACTAGTGTTTCTATATTGTATACAGTATGTGTATGACTAGTGTTTCTATATTGTATACAGTATGTTGACTAGTGTTTCTATATTGTATACAGTATGTTGACTAGTGTTTCTATATTGTATACAGTATGTTGATGTTCCACTAGAGTTTCTATACTGTATACAGTATGTGAACTAGAGTTTCTATACTGTATACAGTATGTTGACTAGTGTTTCTATATTGTATACAGTATGTTGACTAGTGTTTCTATATTGTATACAGTATGTTGACTAGTGTTTCTATATTGTATACAGTATGTTGACTAGTGTTTCTATATTGTATACAGTATGTTGATGTTCCACTAGAGTTTCTATACTGTATACAGTATGTTGACTAGTGTTTCTATATTGTATACAGTATGTTGACTAGTGTTTCTATATTGTATACAGTATGTTGACTAGTGTTTCTATATTGTATACAGTATGTGGACTAGTGTTTCTATATTGTATACAGTATGTTGATGTTCCACTAGAGTTTCTATACTGTATACAGTATGTGGACTAGTGTTTCTATATTGTATACAGTATGTGGACTAGTGTTTCTATATTGTATACAGTACGTGAACTAGTGTTTCTATACTGTATACAGTATGTGGACTAGTGTTTCTATATTGTATACAGTATGTTGACTAGTGTTTCTATATTGTATACAGTATGTTGACTAGTGTTTCTATATTGTATACAGTATGTTGACTAG